TGTTAGAGTTACGCAAGTTATCAGACTGCTCTGGACTAGACTGTCTTGCAACTTTTTAGTAAGTCAACATATGCTTCAAAATTAAGACAAATAAGAAAATAAACAACATTCCTCAATGTTTATATGGAAAGCATAATCTTTTTTTTTTCTTGAAAGCATAATCTTTGATCTTGAAGATATTTTAAATCTAAATTTGTACAACTCAGTCAAGGCTGTATGTATTTTTGCAATGTATTGTTTTATAAAGAAAAAAAATACAAAAACATTTCTTGAAACATTTGAGTTGTGAAGTTGAAATGAAGTCAGTCATGAGCCCCTCCTGGAGCCCAAGCTACAGGGAATGCCTTTGACATATAAAGGGGGAGTAAATGCTGGCAGTTTATTGCATCTTTTCACTTTTAGAGTAAAAGAATTAAAGAAAGGGTGGCAACTGTTTTTTTTTTTTTGTTATTGTTGTTGTTAAAAAACCATTTGAATAACCTCAGTTAAGGTTTAAGTATTTTTGACACTGGGGGATAATTAATCTGCTTCCACGGGTGAAATTCTGAAACAAGATTGTGTACACGTTCTTGGGGTAAGGGAGATCTGTATCTATACCCGGAATTCAAGAAATAACGAACGGCTTGTGTGTAGATTTAGGGAAATTAACTATGTAGCCAACAAAAGGTCTGTCCTGAAATGGATCCACGGCCTAAGGTGGGCACTCATTTGCTGTGTAAATCAGTACCACACATGCCAAATAAATTTTACTTCTAGCTTAGATTTGAGGGTGGAGGTGAATGAGTAGGTTGGTGTGAATTAAACTGTACTACTAGATTTAGTCATGACAAGTTATGCTACTAGTTCTTAACTAGAAGTAATCTGTTGCTTTATAATTTCTGAAGCACACATTTTACTTGAAGTATTTATCATAGGTGGTATATTGGATATTGGATATATAGAATATATAGTTTCTCTTCTACTACACTCTCATAAAAATGAACATTCCTGTAACTGAATTAGAGACAGGAACATACATCAAGTAACCTTCCAGCAAATACTGGCTTTGATATCCAATAATTCAATTGTATTCTATCTCTAATTACTCAGTCATCAGCTAAGGGCTCAGTCCCATTAGATGGCCCCTATTTCAGACATCCATCCAAGCAGTAGGTTGTCACCTGTACTTCTAAATGACTGGTTATAATCATGCTTCCCATAGCCTCTCTTGGGTTGAATAAATATAGATAACTTTACAGAATGCAGGGAGACACTACTTAAGTTTAACAGAGTATCAAGATACCGATAGCATAGCATGGTAGCATTTATCTACAAATCCAGCAGTTGGGAGGCAGAGAGGAAGGGGAAATAACTAAAAGTTCAAAGCCAGCCTGGTCTACATAGAACAAGTTCCAGGCCCACAACAGCTACATAGTGAGACCCTGTCTCAAAAAGCACAAAACAAAACAAAAGGACCGTTGTCATAAAGGACACAGAGGAATGACAAGAAAAATACCTACTCTCAGAGATGTCAGTCAGGGTCTTCAGCTTTTATCCTTCAGCTTTTATCTCAGTGGAGCTGAGAGATGGCCCAGGCAAGCCAAACTTTCTGTCCAGATATTACTGCTTAAGAAGTTTTATAGACCTGAACCACCAGCCCCCTCCCTCCCATTCCGGAGGTCCACAGGTGGAGCTAAAAGTCTTAACTCTCTCATCACTAGTCCTTTCTGAGGTCAAGTCCATCCTAAGACTACCCGGGAGCCCCACCCTAGGCCAGCTCACTCATTTAAACTGTGATGTGAATGAACTAGCCACTCTGGCTGGTGTTGGGGTGGGGGTGCAACCTGAAGATGAATGCTGGCTGGGACCTAACCTCATTAAGCATAACAAAAGACACGAAATCTCAGAAGGTGCTAAGGATTCAGGGAGGTCTCTGACTGCGATGGGGCAAAGATCAACTATATTTTTCTACCACAGTAACATCATCTCCATGTACGGAACAGGATCAAAGGGGCAGAGAGACCATAAATCTAACTCAGATCACACGTTGGCAAAACAAAGAGGAGGGTCTCTTAGACTTCCTCCCACTGTAGGTGCACACTGAAATAATAGGGATATCTTACTCCCCCAGTTCCTACTCTTCCTGTGATTGTATTCTTTGTGTTTATTAATGATAATTTTTAGAAACAAGCTTTTAGTTATTAAAAGCAAGAGGCTGCAACCACAAGTAAATTTTAAGGTAAAAAGTCAACCTAAATTAACTTCTATCAGAGTACCAATTTAATGTCCCTAGAGCTGTGTTATCTAAAATAGTACCCACGAGCTATGCGTGACTTGAGCTGTATGTTACTTGAAATGTGAATAATGTGAACTAAGACATGCTGTATATGATACAGCAGATTTTAATTAGTATACAAGCCATCTCAATAGTTTCATATTGATTGCAATTTTAAATTAAGATTTAATATAGTATTCTATACACTGTTATTTACAAATATAATATTTTGCAGTTTCTAAACATCATGTTGTCTTCTTTGAGCCTCACAACTATAAACTCAGCTTGGCAAGAGAGGATGTGAGCCACTGATCTGCTAGAATTGGGTCCACAGCACTTTAACCTTTTTCTAGGTTATGCGTGACTCCACGTGTTTAATACTTATATCGGACAAAAGCTTAAACAACTAACTCATTTAGCATTTCTAGTGACAAGTCAGACAAAAATACTAAATGTCCACAGCCCAATGTACTACTTTCCTGGAACTTCAAATGACCCATCCAGGGTTCCTTAAATAAAATATGGATCATCCTAACTCCTGTGTTCCCTGGTCTCAAGAAGAAATTGTCATACAGATACGAAGTGACTTATTTAATGGTAGAGAAGGAATGGCACTGTTTATAGACCCAAGCTCGGTCTACGTCTCCCCATCAACTCATACAGTCTCTTCTCCCTGCATGCCTTTATAGTGAGCTACTAAGGACTTACAGGATATATAGAAAATACACATTCCTGGACCGAGGAGAGAGCTCAGTCAGAAGAGGACTTGTAAACATTCAGACCTGCGTTGTAATGCCAGGGCTGGTGAGGGAGCACTGGGCAGAGACAGCTGATAGGCCAGCCACGCCTACGTGGTGAGCTCCAGACTAGCGGGAGACCCTCTCAAAAAACAAGGTGATGGCCTGAGAAAGGACATTTGAGGTTCTCCTCTGCCGGCCCCCAACACAGTTAGGTGAGGATGGGGGTGGGGAGGAAGGAGGGAAAGAGCAGGAGGGGAACGGGTAAGATAAGCAGAGACAGCCAGGCATGGTGAACACTGATAAAAATTCAGCAGTCTTTTTCTCCCACAACTCTCCATTTCCTTTCCTATAACTGTGTGATTAAAATGCCTACCCAGCAGCTTGAGTGCAAGCCTGAGAGTGGCTGGCTGTGCAATACACTTGCATGTAGGAAGCCCTCTAGGGCACACTGAAGTCCACTCCTTGTAATTAGTCCAGGATACGAAGATTTTAAGTCAACCTAATGGAACGGTGCATGCAAAGTGAAATGTTTTCTTCTTCCTTTAAAATAACTCTGTCGCCCCTTTCTTTCCATCCCTTCTTTTCCCCAGCCTGCAGTATAATCACGGTGGCCCAGGCACCAGGACAGATGCCCTTAAGGACAGTTAGGTTCACAGAGCCCTTGGAACCTAGAGTGCCTTCAAGAGAGAAGTCACAAAGGTTGTTGCAATTTTTAACCTGCAGGGTAACTTGAAGATATAGGACACTTTAATTACCTGATGCTACTAAGACTAATTTCTAGCCATATCCCCAGGCTCAGAGGACCAACCCATGTTCCATAGCGTCTAATCTCACCAAGGTTACCTTTGCTTTGCATGAGAAAATAACCATACTCATTAAGATTATCATCACTGGAGCAGGAGAAATAATTTTGATCTATCCATAACCACTCATCTCTATTTTATTTACTTATTTTTGGGTGTTTGTTTGTTTGTTTTTGGTTTTGTTTTTTTTTCTAGACAGGGTTTCTCTGTGTGACAGCCCTAGCTGTCCTGGAACTCGCTTTGTAGACCAGGTTGGCCTCGAACTCGTAGCGATCCACCTGCCTCTGCCTAAAGGTGAGTGCCACCACTGAGGGTCTCATTTCTATTTTAAACAACTGGTATACTACCACCACTGAATATCATTCCCTAAATATTTCTTTTGTCTTCATAAGTAAATTAACTATGAGCTCAAAATCTGATATTCTCTCAGCTTCCCAGCAAATGGTGAATAACTGAAAAGCAAAGACGAAAATGATAAAAAGACTTTGACTATCCACAGACACTTCCAGTATTATTTCCGTAACTACTTCAATAAGTTGGTTAATTTTTTAAAGTTAATTATTAAAAATCAAGAGCGTGGTGTGATGGTGCCCTGTAATAGTCCCAGTGCTGGAATGGCTGAGGCAGGAGAATTATTTGGGCTCGAGTTCCCAGCCAACCCGGGAATCACAGAAAGACCCCTTACTCTAGAAACACAATAAAAGGAGACAACTGAAAAGAGTAATCGGAATGCATTACATCCACATATGAAATTGCCAAAGATCAAAATGTAAATCAAAGGCAAATAATAATAATAATAAAAGACTCAACTATTCACAGAAACATTCGAAAGGGAGCCCAGTAACAAGACATCTAAAACTGACCAACTTTAGGCCCCGGGGGTGGGGTTTAAGAACAGACTGTTCAGTCCCCTGGAAAACTTCTCCTCCACTTGTGGTACCGACTCTCGCTCCGCAAGTTTAACCCATCCATCCAGGAGCAATTACCGTCTCCAAACATTTGGAGCCACACAGGGGTTGGACTTGAGCCTCCCGCCCTGGACCGCAGACCCGCTATCACCGCACAGCACAAGTTCCTGGAGAAAGGACTGAACTACTCTGTTCGTATCATGCCCTCCTCACTTTCAGAAACACACCGCACGGTCCCCTCGCCCGCCCGCACGGCGCCTAGCACACTCACGGGGCTCCCCTGCCCGCCGCTCACCTCGCTGTCCCGGGCGGAGCTGCACCCCGCGGCCCAGACCCGCTTGCTCGCACGCTCGCACGCCGACTTGCAACACGGCCGCCCAGAGCGTCTGCTCGCCTTCCACAGGCGCCCGAGGCTCCGCCGCAGTGACGTCAGCTTGCACCGCCCGGCCGATCGCGGGCAGGTGAAGCCGGTCGTCCCAGGAGCCGCTGGACACACGTGGGCGGGGGGCTTCCTGCGCCACTGAGGCGGAGAGCCCGGGTCATGGCGGAGGCGAGCCGCTGCCCTGAGATCAGAGGCCTCGAATGAAAACAGACTCCCACTCCCTTCACCTTTGTGAATTTCGAGGAACCACAAGATACTGAGGATGCAATTTTAGGCAAATTACTATATTGCAACTGTGGCAGGCTGGACTTGGTGTGGACTTGCCGGGGATTTGTGGAGATGGGGTAGATAGATGGCCTCCTGAGGAGAGGAAGGGGCTGGATTCCTCTCTTGTCTGGGGACCTTACCAGGCAACTGGCAGGAGCGGAAGGATCCTGTGCTAGAAGTTGGGGGCTTCTCTTAGGTGGATATACCGAAGACTAGAATGGGGTGGGTCATGTCTTAGGGAAAAAAAAAAGACGTATCAACTGGAAGACACCAAATTCATCCCTCATGATGGTGAAACTTTCTACATACAGGTAATCCTGAAAGGAAGCACCAGCTAAGCTTCAGTCTTAGGGTTTCCATTGCTGTGATGAAACAAACATGATGACCAAAAGCATCTTGGGGAGAAAAGTGTTTTGCTTAGCTTCCACACCAGTCAATCATTGAAAGCAATCAGGACAAGAACTCAAACAGAGCAGGAACCTGGAGGCAGGAGCTGATGCAGAGGCGGCCATGGATGAGGGTTGCTGCTTACTGACTTGCTCAGTTTCTTTCTTTCTTTCTTTTTTTTTTTTTTTTAGAACCCAGGACTACCAGCCCAGGGATGGCCCTATCTGCAATGGGCTGGGCCCTCCGAGATCAATCACTAATTAAAAAAAAAAAAAAAAAATGTCCTACAGGCTTGCCTACAGCCAGATCGTTGTTTTATATATATATAATTTTTTATTAAATTTTTTTCTTTCCTTTTACATACCAACCCTTGTTCCCCCCCTCCCTCCCCTTCTCCTGCTCCTCCCCCCACCACCTATCCCCATCCCACTCCCATCCCCTCCTCAAAGAGGGTAAGGCCTCCCTTGGGCTTGGGTAGTCAACACAGTACAGCCAGATCTTGTGGAGGCTTCTTCCCAACTGAGATTAAGGTCTTCTCAGATGAATGTAGCTCTGTCACGTTGACCAAAAAAAAAAAATAGCCCAGTTGAATCATTGTGAACTTGACACACCAATAAAATACTATTTAACAATACTCTTTTCTTTTTTGCATCCCCAAGATCTCATATTAATAAGTGACAATATAAAACATATTACAAACTTAAAAGTCAGAATTTACAAATTCAAACAAGTTAAAAATTGCTTCTTTTTTTAATCCAAAGTCTCTTTAACTGTGGACTCCTATAAAGAAAAAATAAGTTCGGTGCTTTCTTACTCCAAGAAGAAAGAACCAGGCACAGTCACAATCAGATCAAAACAAAACCAAAGTCCAACCATGTCAAGCTCAGTGCCCAGACTTCTGGGATTCATGTGAGAACCACGCATGATCCTCTGGATTTGTCCAAAGGGCTTGCTTGCCACAGCACCACAGCTTGTCTCATAGCCTCAGGTCTTCTCCATTCTAGGGCTGCTGCTGTCCTTCCCAGTGGTCCCACGGTACTGGTATCTCCAAAATGCTGGGGTCTTCTGCTGCAATTGAACTTTCACCAATAGCTTCTCCTGGGCTCTCTTTCTGGACTCCAGCCCAGCCAAACGGTGTCAAGCCTCAGCTGCTCTCCAGGAGCCTTTCATGCCTTCAAAACCAGGACCACCTGGTAACTTAGAGTATCAAGTTCTGCTGTCAGCACTGGGTACAACCTTGGCTGCCTCCAGAAGACAGCTTTCATGCTCCAGGGTGCTGAAACACTTCCCAGTAGATTTTACCTCAGTGATGCTGGTCTCTTCTTAATCACCACTAATTTCTTAGCTCCAGCTAACCAGCAAGCATCTATTGTCTCAGTAAAGCAAACGTTTCATTCAGTGGTATCTTGTTAATTATAGCTAATTTTTCAACCCCAGCTTAAGAATTAAGAACCATAGATTCTTAATTCAAAATAGCAAATGGCCCAAACAGACTCTGAACTTCACAACAATCCATGACTCTATCTAGCCAGGATAACTACTAACAGTGCTACCAAGAAAATTGTGGGGCCCTTTTGGGTTCTTAGATTCCTTGGTTTAGAAATAAATTAAAACAAAACTCAAGGAAGTTCACGGAATATGACAGTTAAAACAATGGGTTAGGCAAGTTGAAACGGTGGCATCTGTGGTTAGGAGGGAGATAGACGAGGAAGAGAAAAAGCCATCCCTTTTGCTATGGCGGTTACCAAGCAGCCACCCTTGTGGAAGGAGGGCATGGAGTGAGACCCAAGGTGTCTGGAAAGGCATGCTTGGACTTTGCCAGCATCTGAAAGAAAAAGAAGGAAGAAAGAGGTAAAGTTCAGCAATATGTACAAGAAAGAAGCTCTGTAAGGGACTGTACTGAGGAAGAGAGGCGCTTCCGCTCACGGAGAGCAGCTGAGGCTTGGCACTGTGTGGCTGGGCTGGAGTCCACGAAGAGACCCCAGGAGAAGCTATTTATTGGTGTACATCATCTCCTTAAGGGAGGAGTCATTCCTCCTGTCTACTTGGCAGAGCTTAGGATAAGTAGAGGGGTGGTGGATCAGCCCACATGGATTAACTCTTCCGGGAGGAGATAGTAGTGTGTAATGATCTAATCTTTGGAGCAGATCAGAATGTCTTCACCCAAGGCCCCATTCTTTTGACCAAGAAGAAATAGCTTTGCCTCCATAGGCCTCAACAAAGCCCTTGAAGCCTCACCTTTTCATACACTATCTTAAATTCCAAGGTGACAACGCTCATGTTAGCTTTTCTAGCTTACCCAAGGAAATGGGAGGAGGCGGGTTCAAAGTCAACCAGGACTTCAAGCCTGGCAATGCCTGCCGAGCTACCAAACAACAGTCTCATCTTGGGTCAGTAGCAAAGCAGAAGTTCCCCACACTGCACCCCTAATCTCAGGCCCTAAAGGATACAGGTGCAGTTTTTCTTTTCCGTCCTGTTTGTTTGTTTAATCACTGTGTTGTTTTGTGCTCACACTATACATCCCAAACTGGTGGAGGGCGGGGTATGTGCCTCCCTCCAATGCTAGAGGAGTTCCAGAAGCTGATCCCCCTGAAGCTGGTTTTGAACCAGCTGGGAATTGATCTTATATCTTCTGCAAGAATGGTATGCACTTTAACTGCTGAGTCATCTCTCTGCCTCCCCTTCAATTATTCTCAGAAACTTTTAAAATTTTTATTTGAGGAAAAGAAATGCATGATTGACTTCTACAAGGGTCATATTAGCAGTAAAATATTTTAAACAAGAAAAATTGTAGTTCTCATTAAGAAACAAGTTTGTATAAACTTCATCCCTGATGGTGTGAGGGTTGCTGTCCTTTGGAAATGAATAACTACTGTGGCTGGGTCCACACACTACATTTTTTTTTTTTTGGTCACTGGGGTACAGGGTCATCTTTTCATGTCTTGGTCTTGTTAATAAAATAATTTAAAAATGGCCCCAGGAGAGAGCTCAAGGATGACAACATTGAAGTTAGAGGAAATGACAGTCCAGGCAAACTGGAGAGTTCTGCACCTATCCGGAGAGAGGTGGAAACAGTCTGCTGTTTGGAGGTAGAAGTAAACAACCAGGCTCTGCGTTGGACACCTACATATCCCTGCATGGGGGAGAGGAAGAACTCAGAGACAGTAAGTGCTGCTCCCGATGTCAGGGCAAGCATGTGACCATCCTGGCAGGAATGAAGATATGCTAGAGACACTAGTGACACTCCCTTTGACTGTCAGACTGTTGAAACAATGGTCCCCAAGACATTGGAATTTCTTCAGGAATCTCATTCTGGGAGTAGGAAAAGGCTGAACCCTGAGGAGGACAGAGACTGCACATAGTTCTCCCTATCAGATCCCAGACAGCGATGGGCCAGTGACGGGCAGGACTACACTTGACCAGGACTACTAAGATTTGCTTACCTTTCCCCCTTCCACTCACATCTAATCTTCATGTTAGGACCCCAAAGATGGAACTTGGGAGGCAGGTCACTGTTTTTTTTCTTTATCTTTCCTATGTGGACACATTGAATAAATTTCCTTTCTCTCCTTTTCACTCGTTTCTTTCAAGTCTGGGTGCCCCAGGCTCTGTCTCTAATAACAAGCAGACTTAAGATTTCCTCTAGGTCCAGGGTATAAGAGATGGAAAGAATGGGGAAGAGAGGGGCTGGAGAGGTGGCTCAGTGGTTGAGAGCATTTGTTGCTCTTATAGAAGATCTGGGTTTGGTGACTAACAGCCATCCATAACGCCAAGGGACCTGACATCCTCTTCTGAACTCTCAGGGCACCAGACATGCACCCGGTACATACACATACATACATACATACATACATACATACATGCAGGCACAACATTCAAACACATAAAGTAAGAATTAAATCTAAACTATTTTTAAAAGAGCGGGGAAGGGATAAAGTTAGTTTTCTGAGTCAGAACTCAGAAAGGAGCCTAACTCAGAAAACAAAGGGCCAAATATTAGTCAAGGGAAGTGTGGGAGCCGGTTCTTGGGTTCCTCGTGGCTTTACCCAGCAGGTCCGCATAGAGGATGATTAGGACCACCACAGGCCTGAATGCAGGTGTCTGAGATGGTCTGCACTTGGCTGTGCTGGGGGAGGACGTCTTTTGCTCCACCCCTTGGCGTCTCTATAAAAACCCTGGGGCAGAGACAGTCGGGACCCATTGGAATAGGTTCCATGCCCTCTCAAGGCTATCCTTTATTTTCTATCTGTTTATCTCCGCAAGATTCTCCACAATAAATCCTTCTATCTAATATTTCCTGCTGCTCGCACTCAAGAAAACTCTGAGGAGCTGTGGGGTTGGTGGGCAAACGCCCCACAGGGAAGCACCTGTTATCTACATCAAAAGAATATTACCAAA